TGTACAGCAAAGAAACACGCGGCGTAAAGCCCGTATGCATGAACAATCAGTAAATACTAACTGTAGTACACACATATATCGACAAATTGCTGACCCTCTAAAACACATAGTAACTGTTGCTGATTTACTACCTGATGCACCTGATTATAAATTTTGTGGTGCAAAGCGTTTATATTCTGAATCACCTGGCTTTTGTTGTTCATCTGGGGAGATAAAACTCCGGGAAACAATAATGCCAGTAGATTTAGTGAGATTGTATACAGAAAAATCTGAAGAGTCTAAACATTTTCAAGCTTATGTGCGTAGTTATAATAATATGTTTGTATTTACATCATTAGGAGTTCATTATGATAAATCTTTAGCTCAAAGAAATGAGGGTGTATACACATTTCGTGTTCAGGGACAACTTTATCATTTTATGCCTGCTTTAGTACCACCTGAAAATGAAAAACCACAAAATTTACAGCTTTATTTTTATGATACAGAACATGAAATTGAAAATAGGCTGTCCATAAGTTCAAAAAAATTCAAAGAGAATATTATAAAAAATTTAATGGACATTCTGAAACAAAACCCTTATGCACATTTTTTCCGAACATTAAACAATGTTGATAATTTATTGGCATTTAGAATTGCTTTACAACATTTGATAATAACACATATAATAAACCGTCTGTATCTCAAGTGGCAGGAATATGGTTAGAATCTAAAGAATCTGATGAAATCACAGGTCAACATATTCAAATATATCCTAAAAGTAATTTTAATGATAATAAATCTCAAATTATTCAAAGTTATTTTGGATGTTATGATCCACTACAATATCCACTTATATTTCCTGCTGGAAATCCTGGGTGGCATCGGTCAATTAAAAGATTGAAGCCCTTGGGAATTGGTGTTTCTAAAGAAACATGTAGTGGAGAAGTTATACATAGAATTGAAAATTATAGCAATTCTGACGATTTTCTAGAGGCAGAAATAGAAGGTAACAAAAATATTTACATTTCTTTTTTTTCCTAATGCATAAAAATTAGGAACATAATCAACTTAACAATAGTTTCCTATGACGTAGATATGAAGAAAAGAAAAAACACAAGAGATGAAGTTTCATGTCGTGAATATTACTGTTATAAACTACAAGTTAGAAATGATGATAAATCTTTTTTGCTCCACGTTGGCAGATTATTACAACAATACATTATAGACATGTATATTAAAATTGAAACATCAAGGTTACAATTTTATAGAACAGATGAAATGCAAAGCCGATTAAGAACTGATGTTTATCGTGGTCTTCTAGATGGTATTTCTCAAGGTCATAACACTGGTACTGAAATTGGTAAACGAGTGATATTACCAAAATCTTTCATAGGAGGGCCTAGAGATATGCGAAAAAGATATGTAGATGCTTTAGCTCTTGTTCAGCGTTATGGGAAACCAGATATTTTTCTGACCATAACAGCAAATCCAAACTGGCCTGAAATAAAAGCTTTCTGTTTACAATCTGATGAATCTCAAAACAGACCAGATATAGTTACTAGAGTATTTCATGCAAAATTAGAGATGTTAAAAAAGGAATTACTTGAAAATAATATTTTCGGTGTAGTTATAGCTTACACATATGTTATTGAATTTCAAAAAAGAGGTCTACCTCATGCTCATTTTTTACTAATTCTTAACTCAGCAACTAAAATGTTTTCTGCTGAAGCATTTGATCGAATTGTGTGTGCTGAATTACCTAATTCAGAAACCAATAAATATTTGTTTGATCTTGTAAAAAAGCACATGATTCATGGTTCATGTGGTAACTTTAATAGGAACTGCCCGTGCATGAAAAATAATAAAAATTGCAAATTTAATTATCCAAAAGATTTTTCAGAAATTACAAAGTATGGACTTAACTCTTATCCAATATATCGAAGAAGGAATAATAAACAAACTGTCAAAATTGGAGAATTTTGGCTTAATAATCAATGGGTTGTGCCTTATAATCCATATTTACTTGCTAAATTTGGTTGTCATATCAATGTTGAAATATGTTCTACCATCCAAGCTATAAAATATCTTTATAAATACATATATAAAGGACATGATAAAATATTGTGCAAAGTAATTGAAGAGGACGGGTAGCTTGTAATTGATGAGATTAAAAATTTCCTTAATGGCAGATGGATTTCAGCCCCTGAAGCAGTTTGGCGTATTTTTAAATTTGAGCTTAATAAGATACATCCTGCTGTTATACCTTTACCTATTCATTTAGAGAATGAACAACTTATTACTTTTCCTGAAAATCAAAAATTAAGTAGTATTATCAGAAGTCCGTTGCTAAAAAAAACCATGCTTACAGAATTTTTTCACATGAATGAAACTGACAAATACGCACAAGAAAAAAATTGTTTGTACATTGAATTTCCAGAATATTTTACTTGGTATAGTACCTCTAGGGAATGGTTACCACGTAAAAAACAGCAAGTCATTGGACGTATTCTTATATGTCACCCATCTCAGGGAGAAAGATTTTATTTAAGGCTGTTATTAATGCACATTAGAGCACCAACATCTTTCAACCAATTAAAAACAGTAAAAGGCATAACATTTGATACATATAAACATGCTGCACAAGCTTTAGGTTTAATGCAACATGACAGTACTGCTGATTTTTGTCTCCAAGAAGGTACTACTTATTTAATGCCATCTGCTTTGAGACAATTATTTGCTACCCTTTTATATTACTGCAATCCTTGTAATCCAGAAAAACTATTATTAAAATATGAAGACTTTTTAGGAGAAGATTTTAGGCAAGATAAAAATCTAACTGTTAATAATATTCGTTGTAAAATATTAGACACTATAGCTTATCATCTTTATTCAATGGGAAAAAATCTTGAAGATTACTTTTCTCCAAGCAAAGAATTTAGCATAAATCTTGAAAACAGTTTGACAAGAGAACATCAAACTGAACAAAATATTATTATACCACCGGAAGATCTCTTAGCTATTAAACAGTTAAATAAAGAACAACAACTTGCATACAATCGTATCATGTACTGTGTAAAAAAAAATATCCCAAAAGTGTTTTTCCTTGATGGTCCCGGTGGTACTGGAAAAATATTTTTATATCGGGCACTTCTTGCTACTATAAGATCTGAAAAACATATTGCCCTTGCCTCTGCTACATCAGGTGCAGCAGCATCCCTACTTCCTGGGGGTCGCACCTCACATTCAAGGTTCAAAATTCCAATAGATGAACATAATTCCACATCATGTAATGTTCAAAAGCAAAGTACTTTAGCTTACTTACTACAAATAGAAAAACTAATTATATGGGATGAAGCTACAATGGCAAATCGTACTGTAATTGAAAAATTTGACCTTATGCTTAGAGATATTATGAACTCAACTATAATTTTTGGAGGTAAAATTGTAATATTTGGTGGCGATTTTCGTCAAACATTACCTGTTATCATAAAAGGAACAGAAAATGATATCATCAATGCTTCGATTCTCATGTCACCTTTGTGGAATCATTTTGAAAAGCTTAGATTACAGGAAAATATGAGAGCACGTTTTGATCCTTATTTTTCATCTTATCTGTTAAGAATAGGAAATGATACTGAACAAACAAATAATAGAGGTGAAATTAAATTACCAGCAGAGATAAATATTCCTTTTACTGATGAAACTACCTCGTTATACATACTAATTCATACAGTATTTCCAGGTATTGATTCTTCTGATTTTGACATTACTCCTTTTGTAAATCGAAGTATACTTACAACCAGAAATGAATTTGCTCATGAAATTAATAATAGCATAATTGAAAAATTCTCTGGTAATGAAATAATTTATCTTAATTGTGACGAAAGTACAAGTGCATGTTCAATTCCTGATCAAGAAGAACTTTTCCATTCTTTGACACCTCAGGGATTACCACCACACAAATTGATTTTAAAAAAAAATGCCCCTATCATATTGCTTAGAAACATTAACCCAACTGAAGGTTTATGTAATGGAACACGTCTTGTTTGCACTGATTTTACCAATAATATTATATGTGCTAAAATTTCAGTTGGTACATATAGTGGAAAAACAGTTTTTATTCCTAGAATCACAATAAATGCTCCATTGGACAACTTCTCTTCTATTCCATTTAAAGAAAACAATTTCCTGTACGCTTATGTTTTGCAATGACAATTAATAAAGCACAAGGCCAAACATTTAGACTTTGTAGGAGTATACTTAAAAGAACCAGTATTTTCTCATGGTCAACTATATGTTGCACTGTCAAGGGCCAAAACTATACAACAAATTAAAGTATTGATAAGACCCACAACACCACTTTTATCAGGCACTGATTATACTAAAAACATTGTATACCACGAAATTTTAACAGCAGCAAATACAAATTTAAAAAAAATGTATATATATATCTCTATGTAGACATTACTGTAACAGCATTTCCTTCTATGAAACAGTATGTATTCTTACTGTTTTATGTTTTTTTACTTTGATGTACATATGTAATTTATATCTTTATTTTGTACAGATTTTAGTAGTGTATTGCACAATTATAATCTGTATTTCCACTTTTTGCAGACAGGCCGAAGAAAAATGCATACCAATTGTCAGCCTTGAACCTCAGCTACGCGAATGGTGTATTAGAGTGTTAGTTGCTGAAAAAACTCCCGTAAGGAAACTTCAATCTGGGAAGACACAACTGAAACTTGTATTCATCGATAATGAGGTATAACCCATTGTACAATTATAGATTTCTTATCAGTGATAAAAACAAATGTTTTGTTCTAAATTCCATTACTATAATAATTGTTAAATCCTTATCTTTCACCTATCTAACTGAAATGATTGTTTTGCAGCACACTAAAATACAATGTATAGTTTTCCATCCAGATGCCCCAGATTTAAACGAAGTTTTAAAATTATATAAAACCTACTACATTGGCAATGGGAAAATCATACCACTGAATAGAAATTTTCCCATCATGGTGGATTACAAGTATCAAATGATTCTCAACAGAAGTGCATACATCAAAGCAACTGAAAAAGAAGAAGAGCTTCCATTAGACAATGTTTATCAGTTGACTCCATTTGCACAGTTTCCGGATTTCATGGGCTCATCAGAAGATAGAGTTGGTAAATCTTTCTTCTTTTGCATTATAAACATTTCAGTAATATGGAATTTCAAACAGTTCATATATATCTCCATCTACTCATAATATTTCTTTTTCTCAGATGTATTATGCAGTGTTATACATTTTCATCCAGTGCATTTTGTTGCAACAAAAGGGAAAAATGTGATGGAATTCGTCATTGTAAATCAAGAGTATGTATTATGCTGGAAATAACATACTTTTTACTGTTTTTCATTCATTTATCCTTAAAGTGTATAATTACTAACACATTATTTTGAACTTACAGACGCTGCCCAATGCTTCTCAGTCTCTGGGAAGAATCTTTGCATGAAGAAGGCCAATGATTGGTTAACAACATCCACAAAAATCCGGTCATACTCGCTACAAGGCTAGCTGTAACCTCTTTTCACGGTAAGATTAAACAATTTTTCCCACCTTCTTCTACCTTCTGTTTACATATATTGACAAATTTGAACCACATGTATCTCTATTAATGCACAGCCAAATAGCGTACTTCTGTTTGACGCACCAATTGCTGAAGCCCAAGAATTAGAATCATGGTAAGTGTAATTGAAATTTGTAAATTGATTTAAAACCTCAGTTTCCAATGGATGTGAATTTAACAGACAACTTTTGTTTATTTAAATTTCATATTTTCTCTTCATTGCATAATTTTCATGTTGTTATTTGCTATCTTTTGATCTATTATCAATTCAGTAACCCATAAATTTTGTGCAAGTATTCTGTAGAAGTTGTGACTTTCTGCTATGATATTTCATGATTACTCATGGTCATACAATTTAGTTTCATCCTTGCAATTGCTCCACCATTTGATCTATTGTTCATCATATTATTCTTTCACTCAGAAAAATGAAATTTCAATTTAATTTCCAAGAGCTTGTTTAGTAGTACTTGTTTGGGTTATTACACAACTACTTCACTTTCATCAGATTTTGCATTAAATTTGCATGCAACAGTTGAAAGTATGGTTAAGTGACATAACCATTTACTTTAGTTAAAGATTATAATTTGCAAGTCCATAAAATGGCTACAAAGGCATGTATGTTGAAATTTTTTTACTTCTATTGCCTGTGGAAAATTCTCATTGTTAATTTAGGAGTTAGAATAGTGCACTGTCTCGGCAGCGCCTTAGTTTATATGTGGAGAAATGCAATTCAATATTTGGTCATTTTAAACACTAACATGAGTATTAAAAATACATCAATATATACGTCAAATTTTACACGTATCATCACTGTTTATTTTCGGCTTAATCTTCTCGGCCTTTGCTCTACCCTGTAACTCTTTACCTTCAACTGATTAAAAAAAATGGAACTGAAAAATGACATTTTACTTGTAAATTGTTTTTTATAACTTTTCTTTTTGATTTACCGTACAAGATGCAATTAGTGTTCTTAAAGGTCATACTTATAATATACAGATTCCATAAAAGAATATCAAACTGAACAAGTTGATTTTACTGGTTTTTAGCACATTAGAATTCGTCTCTTTTTTTTTTTTAATAATTTTGACAATAGGTCATTAGGATTCTGTTCCTGAGGTTTTCTTGCTACTTGTCTATAATATATGTAAATTACTACCTTTTAACTCAATCCTCAGATGTGACTCTTGGTCTGTAAACATCCCCATATCAAAATTGAACCTACTAATATTTAATTATTTCAGTGCTATACTAAAGTACAGAGAAATTCTGATGTATTAAAGTGAAGAAAAATCACTTTATATCTCTTTGTTCATATGCTTTTTTTCCTTCAGTGTTTAGCTCTTTTTTACATTTCTTTTTTCCTGAGTCTTCAATATTTGCTAAAGTTTGATGTGATTTTTACATAACATTAAATCAACTTACAACCTGAAATTATTCTTCTATGTTGCTTTTCTATGTTTTTTTTACATTTTTTTATAATTGATTGTGACTAAGATTATTCTTACTATAGGATCAACACGAACAATGAATACATAGAGGCGGTTATCTCCCAAAAGTTATATGAAAAAGTGCATGAGACAATAACGGCACCAAGTGACTCCCATGTTCGAAAAATTGGCCAAGTGATAAGTTCCAGTAACCCGGTATTTTATAATGTGCACTTATTTTATAATTTTGTTTTAATTTTTACTTACTCACATATATCGTTACATGCAGCCAAGGTCATTTTGGATAAAAGCAAAGCCAAAGATTGTTGACAGAGATCAACGCATGTATATCCTTACTTGTCCAAATTGCTTCAGAACATGCGGGGCATCTTACCAAAAAAAATTCCCTTGTTTATACTGTAAAACAGAGCAACCATGTCCAAAACCTGCGTAAGTAACCTCTATCACCAAACTTGTTTAGCAAAGCAAAATTTACATATATTATCCAACTAACCACTGTCATTTATAGGCTACAATTTCAAATACAACTCTCTGATAAAACTGGCACTCTCAACGCTTCCATAGAAGGAAATGAAGCTGAGAAACTCCTCACCATATCAGCTGAAGAATTGGCTAAATACAACAACCAGGTATTCTCTCTTTTGAAATTTCACAAACATCACTATTTAACAGGTATTATATATAAAAATAACAAACTAAAACAACTATCTAACTTTCTTTTTTATTTTCGCAGAACAAACATCTAGACATTGACAAAATCAACAACAACCTTGAAAATTCAGACCGAATGTTCCACCTGAGATCAACCATCAAGATTCAACAAGAAACACCATCAAGATACACTGTCACCACGTATCTTCCGTCATCTACATCATCCTCAACAGCAGTAGAATCCAGTGACAAAGAAACTTCTTCAAACTCTCCGAAAACACCAACCACAGACGTTGAAATGACTGACGAAGAAACAAGCACATCCAACCAGCCAGAAATACAGACTCTACCTGTGAAAAGAAATCTTTCATCAACGGCAAAACAAACGCAGAGATCCACAAAACATGCAAAACAAGATTAAAAGGTAATGAGATCTATCCTTTAGCATATAACAGGAACACACTCTAGCTGCATCTTTTCAAAAACAACAATAGAGCAACAGTGAGTCTCTGATTTTTGGTAAACATAGGCTAGCATAAAGATATCTACAGCCCATGTTTGCGTAAATATGTATTTTGTGTAAATAGTTAATAGTATTCCTGTTTCAAATATGTTAGTTTTTGTGTTAAATTTTGTATAAATATGTTAGATTTTGTACAAAATATGTTAGATTTTGGGTCTGGTTATATGCTAAAAGTATAACTGTGTTACAATAGTTGATGACTGATTGTTAAGTGCTTTTTTCACTTCGTTTCGATGATCTGATGGGTAAATCAGATCACACTATATGTTTGGCCTTCTGAATATGATAGAGCTGATTTCAGTTTGAATATGATAAAGCTGGTTTCTGTTATGTTTTCACAACAGAACTGGTTTCAGTTTGATCTGCTCTCTTGTGATGTGCTCTCTTGTGATGTGCTTTCTTGTGAAATCAGATTTGATGTGCTCTCTTGTGAAACATTTCTCTCTTACCTAGCTAATCTTTTTCAAGGACTTGTTTTTATGAATATCACCTTCATTTAGTATAGTTCATCGATGTTTTTACAGATTTCACAACAAAATTATAGATTTTCCAAGAACTTGATTTCAACAGGACATATCTAAATTAATTACGCTTATCCTTTTAGTTGTTTTCTCAGGTTTATTTGCATAAATCTCTTCTATATTTGATCACGTTTATTTCAGTTTCAAACTCGTAAAAAAAAACTATAGTTTCTGTAAAATTTAAGTTTAAATATTAACAATTGAATTTTCTGGAAATTTGTTCTCCCATAACTTTTGTATTTGGTCTCTTCAAAATTCCGGCAGAATGGCTCTTCAAAATGAATGGACAGAAAAAATCACTACAGAAATCCATGAAAAATTCCAAATAGGTCTTCTTTCTGCAGTAATGTCTGGATTTTTCCCCCTTTTTGGAATGCCTCTGTACTTTGTCTGGATTTTTCCCCCCTTTTGGAATTTTCGATGGTCTTTCCTTTACTGACTTGGTGAAATTGTATCGTATCTGCTTGATTGATTAATGTTTTGTTCTTACTTTGAACTTTGGACTGAAAAAACTAAGAGTGATGTTAGTGATTTAGTCACCTTATACATCACTTTTTTTTGGTAAAATGTTAGCTGAAAATTGGAACAAAAACTCCATAACTTCACTCAGCTGATTGATACGGTGCAATACCTTTGATTTCCGTTACTTTTGGATATAATTCAACAGTTTTATATACTCACTTAGCATCACTGTTGTTACGGATTTGAAAACGCAGTTGTCGATTTTCCGTGAAAACTTTGTGTATACTCTTAAAATTACCACATGCGTATGCTTGTCAATTGTCCGTGAAAACTTTGTGTATACTGTTAAAGTTACCACATGCGTATGCTTCAAAAATTGTCCGTGAAAAGTTTGTGTATACTGTTAAAGTTACCACATGCATATGCTTGTCAATTGTCTATGTAATTAGTTGTCAATTGCCCCATTGCATATGCTTGATTGTCCCATTGTGTATTTACGTATGCTTCTTTTTTGATAACTGAAAGTTTATTTGAAAACGCAGTTGGCAAATCTGAAAGTTCAAAAACAAGGTACTCTAGCTTGTTTTTTGATAAGGTTTATTTGCATATGCTTCTAAAAATCTGAAAACAGGACATCTCTAAACTAAAAATCTGAAAGTTCAGGTTTATTTGCATAAATTTCCTCTATATTTGATAAGGTTTATTCCATACATTTTGATTACTGTTACAGCCATTGTTTTGTTGTTGTTTGTTTGTCCCTAGATTAAATAGGGAAAACTTACGGGTCTTTAGATTAAATAGGGAAAACTTAGTAAATCGCATGTCTAATAAAGTGCATTTCAGTGAAATATTGGTTCTCATTTCTGCTGTCTATGAAATAATATTTGTCTCAGTGAAATGGTATGTCTACTATGTCTGCTGTTAATATTGGTTCTCATTTCAGTTTCAGTGAAAAAAGAATAAAGGGAAACCTCCCTGTCGCAAACTTTCATTGTCGGCGTGATTTTCATTTCTTTTCTCATTGTTTGTCAAAACTTCTTAAATTTACTCTTCCTTTTGTTTTTCTCTTAATTCATTGTTTAGAGTTTAGGGTTTAAGGTCCTATTGTATATTTGCGTATGCTTGTTTTTTGATAACTGAGCAGATTGATTAATGTTTTGTTTTCACTGCGAGCTTCGGACTCAAAAAACTAAGAGTAATTTTAGTCATTTAGCATCACTGTTTTTACAGATTTGAAAACACAGTCGTCGATTGTCCCATTGCATATGCTTCTTTCAAAAAACAAGCATATGCATATGCTTGTCAATTGTCCGTGCACAAAATCTTATTGCATGTGCTTCAAGGATTGTCCGTGAAAACTTTGTGTATGCTGTTAAAATTACCACATGCATATGCTTGTCAATTGTCCATGTAATCAGTTGTCGATTGTCCCATTGCATATGCTTGATTGTCCCATTGTGTATTTGCGTATGCTTATTTTTTGATAACTGAAAGTTCAGGTTTCGCCATTGTTTTGTTGTTGTTTGCTGTTATAGCCATTGTTTTGTTGTTATTTGTTTTGTTTAGATTGTTGTTATAGCCATTGTTTTGTTGTTATTTGTTGTTATAGCCATTGTTTTGCTGTTATAGCCATTGTATTGATAACTGAAAGTTCAGATTGCTGTTATAGCCATTGTTTTGTTGTTGTTTGTTTGTCCTTACAAATTGCTGTTATAGCCATTATTCTGTTGAAACTGAAAATGAAAGTCATTTCTTCTTTACGGGCCTTTAGATTAAATAGGGAAAACTTAGTAAATGGTATGTCTAATAAAGTGCATTTCAGTGAAATATTGGTTCTCATTTCTGATGTCTATGAAATAATATTTGTTTCAATGAAATGGTATGTTTGCTATGTCTGCTGTTAATATTGGTTCTCATTTCAGTTCTAGTGAAAAAAAAATAAAGGGAAACCTCCCTGTCGCAAACTTTCATTGTTGGCGTGATTTTCATTTCTTTTCTCCTTGTTGGTCAAACTTTCTTAAATTTACTGTTCCTTTTGTCTTTCTCTTAATTCATTGTCTAAATCCACTATCCATATATTATTGTTTGTCTTTCTCTTAAATTTTTATATTATTTATTTACTTTAAACCACTTGCCATCTCATCCTTAAAATTTATAATCAATACAGCCCACTTTTCATCCACGTATACCACCCACCACAATACACCTCTTACTACACTGCCACATTTTTGTCCACCTATAACCCTGCACCTTTTAAATTGCCACTTCACTCTTTTAAAAAATTGCCACGTTATTGTTTCCAACCACCTACAACTTTCCTATTCTGCCAACAATACACAAATCATTTCACCCTTTCCACAACACCATCTTTAAATAGTACCAAATATCACAATTGTATAGCAATTTCAAACACACAAAATGGCCACCCCCCAAAAATGCACATGTATTCACTGCGGTCAATGCACGTACAACTCTTGGTTTGAAAGAGAAGTAGATGAACTGCTGAAGAGATTCCTTTGCCATCCTATATGGAAATACGCTCTCAAAACTGCACTGAAGATGGATTGGAGCCTTTCACTACTATTAGAAAGAAGTGCAATCCTTGAAGCTGAATTAAAGACTCCTTTACATCCCATGTAATCTTATATATATAAAAATCATCCGTTGTTTCTCTTCCTTTGAAAACTTTATGTACGAAACATTGTAAAATACGTTTTTTCACTCTTTTGTAATTTAATTCTCCAATAAAACATTATCATCAGTATATGTAACATATAATTTTGTACACTTTTCACCCTTTTTACAGTTATAATTTTCGTGCAAATACCATAAATATACAATACAATTGATTAACAAAGACTTTAGTATATAAACTTCCACAACATCTTGGCTCCCTCTTACCCAGCCGCACCTCGTGCGGCCACCACCGCTAGTTTATTCATAAGACAGAATTCTGACTAAGTCTTATAATGTAGACTTAGTCTACGATAGTCTAATGGAGAAATTTCGTCATCACATCTACTATGATTCGGTTTTTAGTTTTGACCGAAACTGAAAAGAACGCCGACAGAAGCTTGATTCCGCTAAAAAGAAAAGCTTTATTGCTTTAGTTTTTCTACTTTCTTTCATACTTCATTTTAAAAAGAAAAGATCACTCCTTTATTTTTGTCGAATTATATATTTGTTTGTTCCTGCTTCCTCTGTTCTTTAGGAGAGCGGTATTTTTTTGCGCCACTAAAGTTTCATTTCGGATCAGGTACTTATCTATTTTTTTTTAATTAATTAATTCAGTTGGAACTTACCATTATTCGATCAAGTCAATTGTTCTCTCGCATGTGGATAATAACCATATATAGTAGAGTATTGCCTATGTTATTCTTAGCTAAACAAATCAATTTTCTCATTTTCGGGTTATTTGATTGGGAATTGTAGGTTTTTCTGAATAAAGGGATTCATTGATTGGAGTGAAAAAGATGGCTCATGCTGCATTAGTGTATCTCATGTCACTACTGGACACAGAACTGATACAGTTTTCATTTAGAGTTCTGGAAATTGAGGAAGAAAAGGCCACAGTTTTTCTTCTCAGAGCTGATGAAGTTGTCTCCAAATTGAGTGAATTTAAGAATCTGAGAGATGTTCCAGATTCTTATATGATGCAACTGAGAAAAGGGTCGGAACCTTTATCACTCCCGATCAGTGAAGATTTTATCAATGCGGCTCGATCTCCAAAAGTGCTACTTGATAGCAGACCCATTATGAAAAGAATCCCAAATATTCTGGATCAACTCTATCACGGATATTTTGATGCTTCCATGGTGATGTACGGATTAGATGAAGAAGTTGTTAGTCATCCAGCTCCCATTTTGATACAACAGCAGGATTTGCTAAATGATCTGCTTTCTGCCAACGAGCAGTTTTTAAGGATCATTGACTTCTTTAATCGATTGATACAAAAAGCCGAAGCTCCTTATTCCGTTGCCAGCAGTTTGTTGAAAAAACTCAAGGTTACTAATCTTCATGAGGTGAATCACATAAAAATTGCTGCGGAAAAAGCTGCAGAATCCATTGAGGATATGTTGACAGTGGTTAGGAATCATTTATTTGAGAAGGAAGACTTTACGGAAGATTCCAGCTTTCATGATTTAGTGGAACACATTGGCCACACTTTAGAGGGGGCATATGATTCCCTGAAGGGTCTAAACAGATTTATGGTTGTTGGCTCCGTTCAGGGGCATCTAAGGTTTCTAAATCAAATCTTTGAACCCTGTTGTGCTCCTTCAGAGCCAGTAAGGTTTCAAGATGCAGATTTGTTGACTGATTTAGATGAAGATGTAAGACATATGATTCAAGAACTAACTAAACAATCACATGGGCTAACAATTCTGCAAGTCTCCGAGATGGGTTGCATTGGTAAACCTACTCTAGCAGAGAAGGTTTTTCGTCACGAAACTGTGGTACGGCACTTTGAATGTCTTGCACGAATTGGTAGCGTCTCAACTATTGACCAAGTGCTGTCCCATCTGTTGTATTCCATTGCTCCAACTTGTGGTGGAACTCATCACGATAAGAACAAGGAGGATAAAGGCAAACTGTTGTGCAAAAGTCTTGAGGGAAAGAAGTATTTAATTGTACTTCATGGTTTACAGAATTTGGAGATTTGGGAGGCTATCCAGAAATACTTTCCAGATGATAAAGTTGGAAGCCGAATCATCGTTAGTAGTGTTTTAAACCCTGGAAGTTCACAGAGATCAACACCAGTAAATGAGGATATTGTGGTGAGTCTTGATGAGGACACAAGTAAAATCATTGATCAACTCAGCAGACCACCATCTCGATTATCAATCGTCACAATCACAGGGATGGGCGGCATTGGTAAAAGTACACTTGCCAAAAAAGTTTTCCATCACCCCGCGATTGTCCATCACTTTCATTCTACTGCATGGATCAGTACTGTATCTAGCATTGATCAGGTGTTGTTCCATCTCTTGCAAATCAATGCTCCTTCCCGTCGCTTTCAGGCTCTAACCATTGAGGACAAAGGTCTACTCTTGTACAGAAGTCTGAAGGGAAGAAGGTATCTTATTGTAGTAGATGGGCTGTGGAATTTTGAGGTATGGGATGCTGCCCAGAGATATCTTCCTGATGACAATGTAGGTAGTCGAATCTTAATAACCACTCGCGTCATGGAATTTATCCCCAGCAATAGCATTCCTACGAATCCTCCTCACTGTATGGAACCTCTAGATAAACATCAAAGTTGGGAACTACTGGAAAAGCTGGTGTTTGGTCAGGAGAGCTGCCCTGAAGAACTAAAAGCTGTTGGAAAGGAGATTGCCGAAAGATGTGGAGGGCTACCGCTGGCAATTGTTGTTATTGCTGGTATTCTTGACGGCATCCCCAGGTCGTTTTTCTCTTGGTTGAGTATTAGGATTGCTGTAACTTCAGCTGTATCTGCTGATGCGAAACAGTGTCTAGACATACTCGCTTTGAGTTACACTCTCTTGCCCGATTACTTGAGAGCGTGCTTCCTTTACATGGGGGTTTTTCCCGCCAATCATCAGATTGAGGTTGAAAAATTACTCAATCTATGGGTGGCCAATGGTTTCTTAAACTCCAATTCCTCAAAACTTGAGGCGGAGAAATACTTGAACGGTCTCATTGACAGGAATTTAGTTCAGGCCGGAAAGAGAAGTTTTAATGGAAAATTGAAAACATGCTTCATTCATGATCTTGTGAGACGGTTATGCCTGAGACAAGCTGAGAAAGAAAACTTCATGCAGGTTGTGGAGTCTAATGCCATTGCTAATGATTTAGAGAAGCAAAAACATCTCGTTTTCAATTTGGAAGATTTGGATGACTTTCAATTATTGCCTCCACTTCCCAATCTTCATTCTTTCATATGGCCTAATCTTGGTTCTGATTTCACTCCGGGTATGATCCTTCTCCAATTGTCAGCCTTTAAAAGATTAAGAGTGCTGGATATGTATTTTGTGCCTTTTGATAGTTTTCCATCAGCATTGCTGAACTTAGTCAGTTTAAGGTATCTCGCTCTGAACGTAACTTATGAGCTTGATGCATCAATATCTCAGCTCTTAAAACTTCAGACGTTGCTTGTCTATGGTCCCTGGGTCTCGGGAAAAGGTGATGGAACACCACCAACTCTGTATCTGGAATTTTGGAAAATGCCTTGGCTCAGGAATGTGTATGTTAAAGTTCCTAGTTATCTAACATATCCTTACCCTCTTCGACCACTATTAGATGGTGTTCAGGGACCGAGTAACCTCCAGAGTTTGTCCAAGATAGCATTTTCCAGCTGCACCAAGGAGGTTTTCTTGTTAATGGCCAATCTTAAGAAACTTGGAGTGTCTGAAACTGAAGAGGATTTCAAGAATGACGAGTTAACAAAATGCTTTCAGAATCTGTCTCTCTTGACTGAACTTGAAACGTTAAACTGTTCCTTATACAAAGGCAACAGAGAAGCAAGAATTTTGGATTGGAATGCTCTCCCAATCAGTCTTAAAAAGCTGACATTGGATGGCAGTCACTTGTCATGGGATGAAATGACGTCTCTGGCCTTGTTACCCAGACTTGAGTCCTTAAAGCTTAAAAATTATGCGTTCCAAGGATCAAACTGGGTGGTAACAGAAGAGGAGGTATTCGGTTCACTCAAGCATTTGTTGATTGACAACACTGATCTTGCAAATTGGGAAGTTGAAACTACTGATAACTTTCCACGGCTCCAACGGCTGGTTCTCAGGTCCTGCGAGTTCTTGGAGATGATCCCTTGTGGGGAACTTAGTGTCCTTGAGGAGATTGAGTTGCACCATTGTAGTGAATCAGCAAAGAATTCAGCCGGAGAATTCGAAGAGCAATATGGCGGTCCAAAGGTGGTTACTGGGAGTTACTGGTGAGCCAAATACTGTATAGAATATAGACCTCTTTAAAACTTCAGACTGTGATGTTACTTTTGCTATATGTAACCTTTCCTCTGCGTTTTTTGAGCATACCTGTCAAATGTTGTAATCAGTTAATGTAACTTTAGTAATGCTGCATTGAAGGTGAAAAGCGCTGATACTAATATGTGGCCTATGTGGTTCATTTATGTTATGAAAATAGATCAATAAACTTGTCATTTTTCGTTGTTTTAGATTAATGGAGATATTTAGTGAAAGTTTTCCGCAGTAAGTGTACTGCAGTCTTAATCGTCATCTTCAATAGCAGATGGCCATTTTGTCAGTATTGCGTGGCCTTCGCTTTCTCTTCTTCTTGACCTAAAAAGGCATGCACACATATTGTTTAAACTTGTCTAGAATCAACTTCGTATCCTTCCTTCGCTATTTCTTTGTGTATTTTATCTTTCAAAGTTGTCACCGTTTCTATAGTTCTAATAAACTAAAGCAAAGCTATATTTTGGTGATACTGATAAATCAGCCAACAACGTTTTGACCAACCAAAAATGGTCCTTTTATCGAAATTGAATGACATGATAAAAAAAAAGGGAATGGAATCCACTGAATTCCAGCTACATTCACTGTGTAGCGTGGTACCAAGACATAATGAGGCTAATAAGCTAGGTAACAATGGACGAAGCATCAAGCTCTGTGGGTTGGGAATTTTCTGTTATTTCGTCTCAAAACTTCGACCTTGATTGGCCCTGAGTAGTTCGTTCTGCAGAAAAGTTTGTCTTTTGCGTTCTTACTGATAATTTAGACCTTAAAACTGAATTTCTTTCTCCCAAATGATCAAATTGGGAGTGAACTGAAAATTGAAACCGTTTCTTCTGTATTGCCCTCCATTTCTTTACCGTAAAACTTGACTGGAACATTAGCCTTTTGGTTGAGCTTGGAATGGGAGGTTACTCACTGAAGAAAGAATGGCCAGAATGCACTACGAGGACGAACTTCATCGAGTAAGACAGTTGTGGGAACAAGCTTCAAAGTTGCTCGCTAGCTGCTCTTTCTTTCCTGTTGTGGAATCAAGCCGCATTCTTTACGCTATTCGTTGATCTGATCGGGTCGGTACTTATTCTGATAGTTGTACTCTCCCTAGATTTAGTAGGAAAGTGGAATAGACTTTTTTGTATATAAAAATTCAAGGGAGTAGGAAAGCTGCAGTAATTCTTTGGAAAAGCCCGTTCTCTTTGTCTTCGAGCTTTCATTCCTCAATCCACTGATTCGTTCCTTCATATACCTCCCCACCAATAGATAGAGACAAATAGGAATAACCAAACCACGTCTACAAAATGCCAGTACCATGCAGCTGCTTCAAAGCCAACGTGATGCTCCTTGGTCAGATGACCAAGATATTGGCGAATACCACAGATAATCAAGAAAAGAGTACCTATAATCACATGAAAACCATGAAAGCCAGTTGCTAAGAAAAAGGTAGAACCATAAATACTATCCGAAATAGTGAAGGGTGCTTGATAATATTCCATTCCTTGAAAGCCGGTGAATACTAGAGCCAATAAAACGGTAGCTACTAAAGCGTAAACTGCTCGTTTTCCTTCCCGCCAATATAGCATGATGAGCCCAAGTTACGGCAGCTCCGGATGATAGGGGAATAAGGGTATTAAGAAAAGGGATTTCCCAAGGATCTAAAACCTCAATCCCTTTTGGGGCCAAATACCTCCGATCTCTACCGTAGGCGCCAAAGAAGAATGAGAAAAAGCCCAAAAAAGCAAAAAGAACATAACCTCCGATACGATAAAAAGAATAAAACCATATCGAGGTCCTAATTGTACGACTTTGGTATGATGTCCTTCCAACGTGGATTCACGTAGAACATCGCGCCACCATACGAACATGGTATATAGGATAAATATAAGGCCAAAATCGAGAAGTGTTGCACCCCTTGAAATGAGTGCATGTACATCACACCTCCTACGGTTGTTGCCAAAGCTCCGAGTGAACCCGAAATAGGCCATGGACTTGGATCTACCAAATGATAAGAATGCCTCGAGATTCAATCATAAACCACTTTACCTCGGTTGTATTGTAAACCCCCTTCACCCACACCCCTAAAGTAGTAAAGAGAAGGGCTCTTTGGGGTCTAATTTTCTTTCTATCTTACAGGACAAACAAATAGGAAGGGATGGTTTTTCATTGCTTTGATAGAAGTCTAACTAGAAAAGGATTTTTCTACTATGACTTTTACTCCTTTTACTTTGAGAAGAGAATCGTTGGTTTGACCGACGAACTACGTGGGAAAATAGACCTTCTTTCTTTGATTTTAAACAAGATTATAGGAAAAAAAGAATCCCAACATTCTCATTCACAAGATTCAAGGCTATTACGAAATTTAAATAGTGCCCCACATTCTTATTATTTCGAGAGTTTTAATCATAATGGGGTCATAATCATACCCGCCTTCTAATAAGAGGGCATGCACATAGGTGAGAGTGGATAGATCTGTCAAATCAGCATTTATTGAACAAATGACAGATTGTGCCAATTTATTAGTCCAGGAGTGGCCCACGCGAAGTGTTTCAATAGCGACACGACAGCAGCTCCAATCAAGCAATTGAAGCTAGGTCGGCATTCTTTTGAGCAGACATCTTCCTCTAAAAATGAATAATATCTTCCCAAGTCATAATGAGATTAAAAAGCGATGCTTCCTTGGCCATGTGGAACATGGATTAGCATTATGTCATTCCTACAAGCGATCCCCACCAGATTGGAAGAAGTGCTATATGAGGACTTCAAATCAAATAGAATATGTTTCTTTCCATTCCTCGTGAGCCGCTTATTTCTCCGAAACAGAGATCAAAGTCATCTTCTTCCTTTTCCCCAATAAGTCGACGGCCTTACACCATTGGGATACTTGAATAAACTGGAGTACATATAGGATACACCGGTGCTAAAACCTTTTTTAATATATCTTCCAAACTTTTTGGGTCCTTGCTCCGGATCTTATTCTCCCGGTGTGAAAGCAGTTGGTTTCGTAGTTTTAGAATTCTGCTGATCCCAAGTACTCCGTCTCGATCATTGCATATGGCAATATAGAAAGTAAAGAGGAAAAGGCATGACCAGAAAAATTGTGTGAAATAGGTGAATTTATCCAATTGAGGCATGATTGATTCGTCTAAAATGATTATTCTCCCTCCTTACCTTAAGTCCGTCAAGCCTGTAAGACTAGCCAGCGGTAGAGGGAGAAGTCAAGCAATTAGATCCAGTGGCCTAGATGCCTTTCGACCTATATATTTATTGGTTGATCGTTCGAGATAGCCGAAACTACCTGGGAAAGAAGCTTAGCAAGGATCTTTTTTAGCATTTCGGATCATCCGCTTAGTAGCCTTTCAAGCCTTTTTATGAAAGAAGGGGTGGGCATGTTCACTCAGTCTAGAGAGCCCGAGGCCTCGGTCTTTTCCCTCTTTCTTACATTCTTCTTTTGAATCTCAATCCACTTTTCTACTTGCTTATTGGCATTCGTTGCCACTAGGGCTGTTGACCTCTTCTTCGACTCGAAATTCAATCCTATTTACTGGTTCAAGACAAACTAGAAAGGACCTTAAAAGAGCTCTAGCAGTCTCTCTGTAGGCATTAAAGGAAGAATTCTTGCTTAGCACAGACTAACGTAGACCGAAGCCTAAGCCAATTCTTATACTACTTTACCTCTTTCCCATCTCTTCTTGTACGGAAGTTTTATCATAGCCTCTAGAGTTTAGAGGAGCTCACCGCCGATCGCCTCACTTCGCCAAGAAAAGCACTTCTTCTGGGTGAAGGGCGGGGCCTACGCTCGCTTGTTCTGCGCGAGAATCAGTCTCGATACAAGCGGTTCCTCGCCTGGGACAATAAGCGACGATAGATAGCGAGGGGGTACGAGTTCCAACTAGGACTGTCATAGGAGCATCAAGCTACTCAAGTTAGAGGAGCGGTTTTCCACTCTTAACCGTTGCACACGAAAGAGGATCGGAAGCCCTCAACCTCTTAATCAAGGGGTTTTGAAAGCGCCCCATCCACATCTATGTCAGCAGCATCAACCGGGACTATACCCATTTACTATTCAGACTAGGTCAAAGGAAAATCGAAAAGACCAACGACTCGTCTAAAAGAATCAAAGATCCACGAGCTGAGCTTGATCTTACAAAGGCAATTTCTTGATTAGTGATTAGCGATCAGTCTACCAAAAAGAAAGCGAGTCCTCTGCTCGGTAAAAGAGCATTCAGGCATCGGGGGAAGAGCTCAAAGCCGAGGAGAGTCCTGTGTCCCGCTGATAGAATGGAAAGGGAAGGGCCAGTATCGATAGACGCTCGAAAACCATCGGCGGAGGCGGTCCCCCTTTTCGCCAAGGAAGGGACGAGCCGCATTGACGATGAAGAAAAGGTAACACGAAAATCGAACAGCGGTTCTTTCTTTTTGGTCTTTACTGAAACAGATACACGAGCTTCATCTCATGCATGATCTTTTGAGCACGGGTCGGGAGGACATTGCAAAACGCCGGTGGAGGTCTGGTCTCAAAGTCTATTCTTTCTTCTCCCATCATTGCCTTTGGGAACGGTCCAGAGCGCAGCCTCTTACTAAGAGAACAGATGCCACGCAAACACGTAAAAGGGCAAGCGGGTAAAGGAGTAGACTAGCCGGCAAAAGAAAAGGAAAGTCAAGAGATAAACGGCATGGTTAGAGGATTCAAACTGGCAGGATTGGTTTAGTGTTAGCAATTAGCATAAAGCGGTTATGCGACAGCTTGCAAGTTGATAAAACTTCGATTCTAAATCACCGACATCCAACCTCGGTCTTTTTGGCACAAGGGATGCGGTTAGTTGAACCGATTTCAAAGGTTTGATAATTGAGCTTTGGCATGACGTACGCGTGGGAAGGTTAGCAAGCCTAGAATTGTCCGGCCATGGAATTCGAAATAACCATCAACTATAACCCCAAACCAGGATTTGAAGTAGCCTCTTTCCAGGTTTCTTCTTCTTATAGCTTCACTTTTAATAGCTTCGTTCGTTCCTTCCCGGATCGGAAAATTGCGTAGATTGAGATGCAGCTCTTTGATCTCCACTTGGGTCAGCAGTTGAACTCGTTGCCGAAGACCTTGAAGCGGCTCCTTCGCTTTCGTTCGAGTGCTGGAAAAAGCATATAGCCGCTGTTATGTTAGGAAAAACGCTGGAAAGGAAGTCGTGTAGGATAGGCATGCTTAAGGGTCTATTTTCTCGT